GGCGTCACCACGCGCGGGGAGCCCCGAGAGCCGGCACGTGCTGGGCACGGCCGCCCGGCCACCCTTGCGACGTGGGTCTTAAGTAACAAGGCCGACAGGCCGAGCCTCAGCCCCACGGGCAGGGGACAGAGGCGTCCAGACGCGTGGTGACACCCGGGGACGCCGTGCCCGAGGGGCAGACTGGGCTCCCGCACCCTGTCCGGCTGCCGCAGGAGACAAGCGCGGAGGCCCTGCCCTCACCTGGCCGTCGGCACCGGCTGTGGCAAATCGGTTTCCGTCAGGAGAGAATCGCACACAGTTGACGAAGCGGCCGTGGTCCTGGGGGAAGCAGAAGGTCACAGCGGGCCGACGGCAGCGGGAGGTCCCCGAGGAAGCCCTGGCCTGCGCAACACCAGCTCACGGCCCCTGGGAGCCGCCAGCCCGCGGGCGCGGGCAGGGGCGAGACCAAACAGGTCCCGGGCAGCCCGGCTGGGGTCGCGCACCCGTGCGGGCCGTCCCCTGCCTGGGCCCAGTGCCCGGCAGGGGGGCATGTGCTGCGCCAACAATGAGGTTTTGAAGAAAACCAACCACCTCCGTGACCTTCCGGCCACGTCTGGGCAGCTGAGAGGACCGGTGCGCCAGGACGGCTGACTCACTGCCCGAATGCGCGCGTGAGCTCATCTCCCCACCTGGGGGGGCCTCGCCCAGAGACTGTGCCTCCCACACCCGAAAACAAGGCCTGGGCGGCGCTGGGCCGCCCTCGGCACGCAGGCTGCAGCGGACCCTCGCACGTCTAGGGGAGAAGCGGGGTGAACCGTGTGTGGCGGGGAGCCCCTTGGCGGTTGCCAACTGCTACTGCCACAGCCCTGAGGCCACCCAGGGCCGTTGGGACAAATGAGTCACCGCAGCTCCTGGGCCGAGCCGCCCTTCTCCACCCTCGCCCCAGCTGCTGCCGCCGTGGTCCCTCACGTGACACAGAGGAGGCAGGTCCCCTACGTCTAAGCCCCGAGCAGCCCGACGAGGAGGGCTCCCCCAGAAATGACCCCAGAAGACCCCCAGGGGCCAGGCCAGATGGACTTCAGGCAAAGGGGCGCTGATTTCCCTCAGGAAAATGTTCAGCTCCCATCGAATTCCAAATCATAATCAACTCTGGGGCCACAGTTCGCTGACACAGCAAGGGCTCCCCTCTTCCAAGCCCAGCTCGGCATTCCCTCCGGGATAGCCCCTTGCCCACGGTGGTGGGCCACTGCGAAGGGAACAGGTTTGGGGAAGCGTCGCGGAGGCCCCAGACTGGGGGGCTCTTTGTGGCTGCCAGCTACTGAGCGGGCCCCAGGGACCAGTCTGCATTTGACCTCATGACCTCCTCCCATCACCTGTATCCACTGAGCACCGGCAACGTCGGTCTGGCGGCCATGAAGCCACCACCAGGTGGTCACCGGCAGGGCCCCAGCCTCAGCTGTCCCCGCGGGCACACCCAGGTGGGCTCAGCCAAGCAGCACCAAGGCACCCCAGCTTCGCCTGCCCCTCGCCAGCCACCACGGAGCGGCCCCAGCAGAGTCAAATAAAAGGCTGGCGCTGGCCCTCCCTGGGCCTCTCCCTGGCCCCACACCCCCGGGCTCACGCAGACCGCACACAACGGACGGGGCCAGGGAGGCCGAGGGGCAGCCCAGCGCAGCCACCCAGACGCGCCTGGCAGACGCGAGCGGCCTCGGCGTCTACCTGCCCAGAGCGAGGCACCCGGAAACCAGCAGAAGCCTGGCACGAGAGCGCCCACACTGGCTTTGCGGTGTGGGGGAACGGCGCGTCTCACCACAGCCGGACGTCACCCCTAACTGTTCGGCAGAGTGGGGGAAGCCTCTGTTCGGGCAAGACCCCGGCTGGGCTGGCAGGTGCCGCCCACCTCGAAGCGGCAGATGTCGCGGGGCCAGCTCCCGCGCAGCCGGCGGGGGCAGCGGCCGGGCAGCGGCCCGGCACCTGCTGCTCCGGGATCAAGCCGCACTGGACACAGACCGCCTTCTGTGACGCGGGCCAGGGCGTGGACACAGCTCTCGGAGGGGGCTGCCGCCCCAGGGGCGGGCGTCCTCATCACCCATGGGCCAGCGGCCTGAGGGCCCGAGTGTGGGGCAGGCGGGCATCGCCCAGTGCAGCCGCTGCGGCGCCCGACCCCGAGGGCAGCAGCACACTGGGTGGGGCCCGGGGAGCGAGCGGCCGGCTGGAGTGCACACGAGGCCGGGAGCAGCCCACCGGCCTCCGGCCTGGCCGCATGCGATGTGGGAAGCCCCTCCCTGGCCAGGCCGTCCCAGGCAGCGACCTCAGCCCACCCTCAGGGCCATGAGCCCCAGAAGCCAGACAGCCCCCACGCGCCAGCTGACTCTGGGGTGCCGAGGGCCTAGGGCAGCTGACCCCCCTAGCTGGCCACACCTGGCATTTGGGGTGGGTGTGGAGGCCGAGCGCCCTGCCCTCCTTTCTGTACTTGACATCAGTCTTTCTGCAGACCTAACGCCTCCCCGTGAGCCCAGGCCCCAGGAGAGGGGCCCACAGCCTCGCCGGAGTCTCGCACGGTGCAGACGGGCCTGGGGTGAAACGTGGCCCGCTTCCCTAGGAACAGGGGAGTCGGGAACCCTGCCCGCAGGGGAGCTGGGGAGGCGGCACCGCCCCTTCTGGCTCTACCTTGTGCCCGGCGTCTGACTCACTGGGAAGACACCCAGGCGGACAGCAGCCGCTTTCGGGACTCTACCTCATCTCTGCGACTTGCCAGTGGCCCCAGGGCCGTGGTCGGCCACAGTGTTGTGTGTCTCCCCCCCACCGCGGATGCCCAGCGACGACGGAAGAACAAGAGGGGTAGTGCAGGGGTCCCTGGGCTGTGCAGGCCTCAAATGCACAGCTGCGGGCGCTGACGCCAGAGGCCCCACCGGCCTGGCACCCCGCAGCGAGGCCAGGGGCAGGCAGGGAGCTGGGTCCAGGCCCCGGGACGCCGGCCGGGGAGCCGTGGGCACACACACCTTCACAGCGCGCCCAGTTCTCAGCACCCGCTGGGCCCGCAGCAGGGCAACCAGGCGCCACAGCTGCCCTCCCCAGGAGGCACCTCCAAGCCAGGTACGTGCCAGGCCTCACTGCCCCCAGACATGTCCAAGGGGGTCCCGCCCGCAGGGGGCCTCGGGGGGGCCTCCTCCTGCCTGCAACTCCCAGGCCACGCGGCCCGTGTCGCTGCCCTCCCCCGGCGCCAGCATCTGACGGGCACAGACGCGCAGGTCCCGCGCTGGCCTAGGAGCCTCCCTGCGGGGGAGCGCGCTTACACCGATGGTGAACTTGAACTTGAAGGGTGGCCCCTCAAAGAAGGCGGCGCAGTTGTCGTCGCTGCCCGTGGCCAGCCGGTACGGCCTGCTCTGCTTGATGTCCACACTGTTGATGACTTTGTTGTGGCCTGTGATCTCGCCCACTGAAGAGCCGGAGTCCCACAGGAAGACGGCGCCAAACCTGCACCGAGAGCAGGCACAGGTCAGTCCTGCCCGGGGAGGGGCGCCGAGCGGCCAGCGCGGGGGCGGGGCGGGGGGCGGGGCGCGACCACCAGGACCACGCGGTCTGGAGGGGCCTGCGCCCCGGCCAGCTGTCTCGCGGAAATACACCCGTCGCCCCCAACTAGCAAGCGGCCCTGCGCTCAGCCGGCTGTATCTGCACAGCGAGAGGGCTGGGGAAGACACGGGGTGACACGGGGTGGCGGGGACCCCTGCAGAGGCCGGGGCCAGGCCAAGGGCCAGAAGGCCGCAGACTGCCCCGGAGGGGACCTGGCTGCTCCTGGGCCGGGAGAGCGGGCGCACTCGGAGCCCTCCCCCAGGGGCCCGGCCTCCGCCTTGGGCCGGGGAGTCGGGGTGCGCCGGCCGGGGGTGTCGGCCCCCCTGCGGCGGGTGGGCAGCTCGGCCGCCACGGGCTCCCTGCCTCCGCCCTCCCCCTTTCCTGCGAGCTACCGCCTAGAAGGTTCCGGACCCACAAGTGGAGTCCCAGGGGGACAAGGGCCACGGACACCGAGACGGACAGGTCCTGGCCGAGGAGCTGCGTGGGGGCTGCCAGGCCGGCGGGGAAGCGCTGGGGGGCGGAGCCAGGGCGGGGCGGGGGCCGGGCACTCACTTCTCCCTTCCTTCCCCGACCACGGCGATCCTCTTACTGTCTTCCGTCCAGGCAATGTCCTTGATCTTCCCGGCGAAGGGCTGGTACTCGTACTTGAGGAGGTGCTCCTTCTGCGTGGTGTCCCAGATGCGCAGCTTCCCAGACACGTCTGCGGGCACAGAGGCGTGAGGGCTGGGCTGGCCGGGCGGCCCCGGACGCACCTCCGCCAGGAGGGGCCTCCGCTCTCCCATGGCCGCCCCGAGGCCTGTGCCTGCCGCCCGGAGGCGGCTCTGTCCAGCCAGGCTCGCCCCGCCCGCCGGCGCCAGGCCTGCGGAATAACCGCCCTGGGTGCGCGCGGCCCCGTGGCTCGTCTCCCTCCAGCAAGACGCCGCAGCCCACGCTACTGACGTGGCTGGGGCGTGACGCCGTGGCTGAGCCTTACTACAGCGAGCTCACACCCAGCGCCGAGCGGGGCCGCGCCCTGCCTCCCCGCCACGACGCTGTCACTGAGCTCCCGGCACGGACGCCCACACGGCCTCCCCAAGGAGCTCAGCCGCCACGTTACGGGCTGCGCGGCGCTTTCTGCTCGCTCTGGAGGTTCACCCGCAGGCCAGGTGGCAACCCGGGTCCCAGCCCCCTCGGCGGGCCCTGAACACGCCACCTCCGAGCACGGACCACCCCTGGCCCCTGGCCCCTGCCGGGCTGCCCCTCGGGTGCCGCCCAGGAACACTGCCGTGAAGGTAACAGGAGCTAGTGGGAGTGGCCCAGACAGGTCTCCGCACACGCGGGCACTGGCGGCCGCTTAGTCCCTTAGTCCGAGTTGGCCCTGGAGAGCCGCTGGCGGCCTGGCCTCGCAGGGCAGACTCAGAGCAGCGGTGTGGCAGGCGGGGAGTGGCGCCCGGCTCCCAGGGGTGGCAGACTGGAGGAGGTGTGCACGGTGACGAGGCCCGGGGAGGCCTGGAGTTGGCTAAGCACCCCGTGAACAAGCAGGCCAGCTGGCAGGAAAGGGCGTGGCAGGGGCCAGTGCCAGACGGGAGCCCGTGTGGGCGGGAGCCAGCCGGGCTCGGCCTCGCACGAGTCACACCACAGGCCGCGCCAAGTCCCGAGAGCACAGCAAGGCGCCGTCTCAGACAGGCCAGACCAGCCTGCCCTTGGCAGCCAGGGCCTCGGGCGCCCCCCAAACCCACACTGAGCCCGCACGGCGGTGGCACCAGGCGGGGCGCCTCTGGCAGAAGGCTAGGTCACGAGGACGAACCCCCGGACGGATTAGTGTCCCTTTAAAAGAGTGACCCAGGAGAGCACCCCACGCGTTCCACCCTGTGGACACAGGGAGAAGACAGCCACCTCGGGCCAGGCGCTCACGCCGACACGGACGCACAGAGGCCCTGACCGGGAGGGACGCCCGGCTTCCCAACGCTGAGAACTGTTTCTGGGGTCTGTCGGCCCGGGGCGCGGTCAGGTGCCCGGATGGACGGCGCCAGGCTGGCGTCACCACCCTCCAGCGGCCTCCCGCATCGGGCCTTGCTGCTCCTTCATACAGTTCTTTCAGCAGCAGCTGGGCCGGGAGGGCAGGTGACAGGCGGCCTGCAGTGGTCACCAGAGCTGACTGGGCACCCTCAGGGCCCAGGTCTTGCTCCAGGCGCAGAGACGCACAGCAGGCCTGCCTGGGCAGCAGGGCCTCCCACGGCCACGCACGCAGGCAGCACGCACACACCAGCAGGGAAGGGCGCCTCCCTCCGCACGCCTTCCACACGGGGCCCCGTCCCCACACGTAACAGCATTCTCAGCGCACCTGCCCCCTGCTTCCGTGCCAAGGGTGCCAGCTGCCTTCCCCCACTGGGTGGGCCAGGCCACCAGCATCAAAATCACCAGAGGAGGAAGTTGCTAGAAGGACCTTGGGCTTGTCCCAGCAACAGCCCTGCCCCAAGCACCATCGTAAGGTGGTGGACTCCTGGAAAGGCAGAAATGGACTTGCTGTCTAGGCCCTACTGTGGGCTCCTCACACCACAGGGCTTCCAGAAGGTTCACCCTCTCAGCAGACGGAAGCCAGCCTCACAGGCCGTGTGCTAGAATCCACCTGGGAGCAGCTGCAGGCTGCCCAACTTACTGGACCCTGCACTCGGCACCCGGGGCCTGGCCCCGCCCCCACCAGGTGCCTGGTGACCCACCCAGCTGGCCTCTCTAGCCGCTGCCCCGCACACTGCACCGGTCTGAGCCCAGGATTCTAGGGGCCACGGCCAACGCTCCCTGGTCTTCCCTCGGTTCCAAGGGCTGGAGGGGCTCCGCCGGCTGCCCTCCATGGCCCTGACTTCTGGGCGCTGCCCTACTAGCCGGGACGGGACAGGCAGCTGGGCACCGTGCCAGGCCTGCCGACCACACCGCTCTCCCGAGAAGACAAGATTAAAAGGCACCAGGCCGAGGCTGGGCGTTTAAACCGGAGGCCTCTTGCTGGCTGAGCAGGGCGGACCCAAAGCCCGCCTGCCACAGCCCGTGAAAGACACCTTGCTGTCGCCTGACCTGTGGGGCCAAGGTGCCCACTCCTACGCTGGGTCCCCCCAACTGCTCTGGAGGGCACCAGAGGCCGGCTCACCCAGGGAGCCAGCCTGGGAGGCCGCTGCACAGCCCGTAGGGTCAAGCCTCGCTGGGGGTGCGGTGCAGACAGCAGCCCTCCTTGGAGAGCCCTGCCCCCAACCTGTATGTGAGAACGAACGAGCAAATGGGGGGAGCAGACAAGCACCTCGAACTCCTGTGCTCGCCGCCTCATCTGTAGACAGTCGGTCTCCCACCAAGGACCAAGCCAGCGCAGCCCTCCAGTGCAAAGGCCTGCGTGCCGCGCGGCCCTTCACCCAGCCTCCGTGGAGCCGCGCACGAGCCGGGAGGCGGCCTTGTGCGGGGACCAGGAACACGTGGACACTCGCGCCACACGGCGCAGCACGGGCCCCACCTCACGAGCGCATCTGCCGACCAGAGGGGAACCCCTTGCTCTGCACGGAGCGGACCCGTCAGCCCAGCCCAAGCCCCGCCCACCGGCCCGCGCCCGCCAGGTACCTCCGGAGGCGATGTAGAAGCCGCTGGGCGCGTACTTGGCCACCACCACCTGGTGGGCGTGCTCCGTGTAGATGTCGGCGACCGCCGGGTTCTGCGGGGAGGAGACGGGTGAGCACCAGCAGCCGGGAAGCCCAGACCTCCCAGAGAACACCCCAGAGGCACGGCGAGTGCCTCTCTGGGGCGCAGGCCGTCTGAACTTGCTTTCAGAGGTCGCCGAACTCGGGGATTCCCTCCCGTGGTGTTTTCTGCACGTGCCGCAGCACAAGCAAGCAGGTGTCTGTCCCACAGGACGCGGAGTAAGCCTCAGGAGAACCCCGTCACGCCTCTGCCACCCAGGCTCCCAGGCTGAAGGGCGCGGCCAGGTCAGAGAACAGGGCGGGCGTGGCTGTGGGGGCCCAGACCAGAGCTGGCCGGGGCGTGTCTCTGCTGGGCCTCAGTGCCGCGGCCTCACCCCGAAGCTGCCCTTCCCCCGGCCCTTCCCCGAGTGTGAACTCGGCATGAGGGACCCTGACACTCAGGATGCACAGATGAGCCCTCTCCCCGCGGGGCCAACGCGCTAAGGAAGCAGAAGGCCCCCCGGCGGCCAGGCTGGGTGCCCTGCTGCTGCCGCGGCCGCCGCGGGCCGGAGGCTCTTTATGAAACAAAACCCACGCCCGGCACTGCGGCCCGCTCGCTCGCTGTGGGCACCCCCCCGGGGGAAGCACAGTCCCAAAAAAGACGCCGTGCCCTGGAAAGCACCCCCCACCCACTCTCTACAGGCGAGAGTGGGGGGCAGGAACAAGGCCCTTGCACCCCCACAGCAGGAGGCTGGCCAGTGATGTGGTTCCTCGTAGTGTCTCGAAAAGGCGGCCCAAGCAGCGGCGGGAGCTGTCCTGGCAGGGGCAGGGGCTGCAGCAAGCAGATCGTGGGGGTCAGAGGGCACTTTCCAGAATGACCGGAATGTCCTGTGCTGGCGATGGGGCTGGGCTGACTGTATCTGTCAAACCTCAGGTTTGCATGTGATGCAGATGAGCTTTTTTGTATCTGGGCTACACCCCGGTAACGTGTGCCTTCACGCCCGCCAGGCACCGGGCTCCCCGTGCTGACTTTCTACAGGGACACAGTCCCGTGCCCAGAAGCCTGTGGGCACCCCCAACCCCCGAGAGCCTTGTGCAGGCCTGTGGCCACTCAGGGGTCTTAAAGCCCACCCAATTCACAGCGAGACACACCAGTGACGCCACACTCGGGCGGCGAGAGCCCTCCCTGGCACCGCCTGAAACACCGGGCGCCCCACTTAGAGGTCTTGGGAAAGGGTGGGAGATGCCCAGGTGAAGGCCCTGGAGTGAGTGCCACCCTCACCGGTGCTTCCCCCGATAGGCGGCAGACCCCAGCCTCGGCAGTCAGGACCCCCAGTGCCCACCACGAGGGTGAGGTAGTGTCAGGGAACACCGCCTCTCGCAGCAGAAGGAAGGGGCTGGAGGTGGCTAAGCCAGGGGAGGCCGAAGAGCGTGGCCACAGGAGGGCGGGGCAGTGGGTGCCTCCCGCACCCACCCTGGGCTGCAGGTCGGGCCCATTACAGACCAGCACCAGGAACCCCGGGGGCAGCCCCCCTTCTGCACTCTAGGAAGGAGCACAGGAGCCGAAGGGAGCCCGTCATTTGGGGAAGAGAAAGTGAGAGGGGAAGGAAGCCGGCCTCGGGGCTCCCACTCTGGCAAGGGCTCCCACTCGCGGGCCTCTCCAGACTTCCTGTGCTCTGCAGTCACAGAGAACTGAGGCAGCGGCCCTGGCTCCCCAGCCGGACCCATCACACCTCCCCTCCGCCCACCACCAGTGCCAGGCTTCCATCCGGGGCCTTCCCCTGGGGGTGTGGAGGCTGGCCTGCCTCCGCCACACTTCAGGACGCCCCGCCGTCCACGGTGTCCAGGAGCCAGAGAAGCCTGGGCTCCCCTGCTGTGGAGGGGCGGAGGCTCAGGACCAGGGCCGCCTCGCAGTGTCCCGCAGCAGGCTTTGCAAGAGCGGAAAATGGCCTTCAGACGCCAGAGCAGGTCCCATCTGTGACTAACAACTTTGTCCTGGGCGGGGTAGGGTAGGGCTCTGGCCAGGATCCCGGTGAGCACCCCCAGGCGTCCCAGGGCGTCTCACTGGCCTCAGGGGTGAGGCTGCAATCAGCAGCCCGCCCTGCTCCCCTCCCGAAACAGAACAGAGGCTGAGTCAGGGGGCCAGAGGATGCCAGGCAGCCTGAGCCCTGTTTGCCTTCCCCATCTGCCAAAGGAGCCCTCACTAGGTTGAGGCCCAGCTGGCCTCCCCAACGACCCTGGCTTAAGCTTGAGTGATGTGGCTGGAGACGGGCTTAGCGGACCCACGCGGGAACCCCAGCACTGCAGCTGGGCACACAGCCGAGTACGTCCGTGTCTGGGTGAGCTGCTTCCAGAGCTCTCCGCCTCGACGGAGCCCTCCGCAGACCTGACCCTGTTGCTATCTGCCAAGAGGGTCTGTGGCACACCCAGGGCCGGCACAGAGGGGCTGCCCGGGACAGTGCCGCTCTCCAGCCCTCTACTCAGCTTCTGCGCGGACACAGCTGCTCCGTGTCCATTCTGCTTGTCGTGGGGCTGGGCCTGAAGACCGAGCCCCGCTCCCGGCTAGGCTGGGGGCTCCCCCAGTAAAGATCCTGGATGAGCGTGTCCAGAGCTGGCACAGGCCTTGCTACCAAGTAGATGCTTGAGAAGGCCTGGTAATAGACTACCAGGGCAGGAGGGCAAGGGGGTGTGTGTACACAATGTCTGCGCCAAGCCAGCTCAGACCGTGACTGGCCGGGGGCCACAGGCACGTCGTAACCCAGGTGCCCAGCTAAGAAACGCGTGCCACCCCATGTGCTCCAAGCCTCACTTTCCTCCCGCAAGGGAGGCCGGCCCGCAGGACCGCCAATCCTCTCGCTCCACCCCCGTGTGGACAGCTGCTCTGTCCAGGTGGACCCGAACATGACCCCAGGGCTGGGACTGTCCTTCTGCAAGGGCAGGCCGCTGCGGCCATGCTCACAGCACACATGCTGCGCCGGCACGCCACTCCCGGAAGCGCCGACTGCTGGCCTGGGCCTGGGCGTTCCAACAAGCTGGCCCCAGCCTGCCCCCGGGGTGGGTGCAGCCGCTCCGGCTGCCTGCTGGCAAGGTGGCGGGTCTGTCCCAACACTGGAGTGGCCTGCCCTGTCTGCTTGGGGGGGCGGGGGCTGAGGGGATCCAGGCTCGTCCCCTGGGCTCTCCCCACGGGCTAACTTCCGGACGGCCGCGTCCCCACAGGCCTCCAACTACAGCCTGCTCTCTGAGGTGCAGCACCAGGCGGCGCTGAGGCAGACGACACCGACCTCCCGGCCCGGAGCCGGTGGCCGGGCTCTTCCATCCAGAGGGAGTGAAGCCGTGGTGCGAGGGGCATCGGCAAGGGCCCTGCCCTCTGGTGGGCGCTGCGGGTGGCAGTGGCCAGTGGCCTGCTGGTTTGTGCCCCAGGTATCATGGGCATTACTTGGGTACAGAAGGCTGGGACGGGGTGCTGTTTAGGTAATGCCCCTGACGAGTGATAACTAACCACTGGCCAGAATGAAATGTCCAGAGACAACCCCAGTCAGTCACGCAGGTTCCAAAAGGGGCAGAGAAGCCGAGCGACAGAGGCACAAGGCGAGATGGGAGGAGCAAGGATGCGTGCCCAGGGGAGCAGGAGGCTGGGCCAGAGGCGTGGGGGGCGCTCCCCGAAGCCTGTGTGCAGGGCAGGCTGGAGGACTTCCCGCGGAAGCAGGGAGACTGACGTCCGGGTGGCGCTGGCCCACGTTCCTTGCACGTCAGGCGAGAGACGCCAGCCGCTTAGAGGATGGTGGGAACGGGCGAAGTGGGGAATGCAGACTGAGGACACTTTGCACAAAGTCGCTGGACTGGCTGAGAATTATATGCAGGAAGAGAGGGGGAGCCCAGGCGGGGCCTGCCACTTGGGGCGCGTGCCTGGGAAACCCAAATGTGGCGGGGCGTGCTGGGGGTGAGAGGCCCACCCAGCCGACAGTCGTGGGGTCGTTCCAAGAAGCGGCCCAGCCTCCCGCCCCCTCCCACCACCAGAGCTGCGCTCCACCTACTGCCCCTCCTGCCAACGCGGGGCGCCACGAGCATCCCTGGCTCACTTCACCCCAGGTACCCTGGCCCGAGCAAAGTACTGATTCAGACTGGCGAAGTCTGACTCACCTTTACCTGCGTGCCAAGGGCCCACCAAGCAAACCAGGCCTAATGCCTGGTGCACACCCGGATTAGGGAGGGACACGTTACCAGCCTCCCGGGCTGCTAAGAACAAACAGGTGGGACGGGAAAGCAGGTGTGCCCTCTGGTGCGAACGGTAAGTTCTGGGGCACTGGTGAAATCAGGGCACTCAGGAGCAGATGGGGTTCCCGGTCAGCGAAGGTGGCCTGCCCGCGGTCATGATCCGCTTCCCCACTGGAGGCTCTCCCCTGGTCTCCTTTGCCTCGGGGCCCGAGGGAGGGTGGAAGATGCTGCCGCTGAGAACCTCGCCCAGTGTGGGGCAGAGTGGGCACCTGACTGAGACCTCCCTCCCTGAGGGGGCGCGGGCTGCCTGGCCGCGCAGTGCCTGGGGGGGCATCCTGCGACTCGGGGTCCCCAGAAGGACTTCGGAGCATTCGACTGGCCAAACTGCGTGAGCATCTACTTGGAACCGTCGCACCTCTTACCGTCTCCAAAAGGCTTAGCACCTCATTCTGGGGACTCCCAGTCACTCGGATCCCGGCCAACACCCACCCTACACCCCCAGGCCCCGCCGGGTCTCCTCGAGGCCTTGGAGCCGGCTGACTCTTGGAGTGGCTGCTATCACCTTCAAAGCGCAGTGGTGCCCACCCCAACTGAGGTGCCCAGCTGCCACCGACGGAAGCCGCCACCAAAGGCGTGCAGAGTGCAGAGCACAAGCTGCCGGCTGGCTGCAGACCTGCGGGCAGAGGCAACCCGACCACGCAGACGCCTCTCCTCCTACAGGAGAAGAGGCCCTCAGCCCTCCTCCCTCTGCCAACTGTGAGTTTCCTGGAGGCCAGTGCATCTGGGCATGCACAGCCTGTGCCCACCCAGGGGACCACTCCTCGCAGATGTGCGTTCCAACGGCCAAGCCTGGGGAGCACGGCCGGGCGGAGCGGCCCTCCAGGCTCTCCACACTGGGTGCTGGAGAAACCCTCCCAGCCACCCTGCTGCAGGCTGACCCCGTCCCTCCCCCGCCCCACCCCACCCCTGAGCCTGAGGGAGGGCTTCTGGGTGCACCCCCAAGTGAGTGCCAGGGGACTAGGCCCGCTGCTCACTGCAAGGGAGTAAGGAGCCGCTGGGAGGGCTCCCCAGCAAGCTGGCTCTAGAAGCACCCCCCAGCCGGGGTACAGGGTGCCCGCCCGAATGACTCATGGGAATGAGTGGATCCTGATCCTGCGCTGGGGATGGGATCCTTAGGGATGACCAGGCTGCGGGCCAGAGGCCTGGGTGTTAGTCAGGGCCCTGCTGCCCTGGAGATCCTGTGTGTTGCTGCCCAGGCGCAGCACCTCAAGTAAGCTTGCAGGCTGGAGCGGGCCAGCACGCAGGGCCAGATGACAGGAGGAGGGAATGGGGGCTCCGAGGCCCCAGGCCTCCCCCCACCGCAAGGCCGAGCCGCAATTCTCGGGGTCTGTCCTGGTCCTGAAACGCTCGCCCTCATTCCAAGGGCCTGGGCGAAACATGCCTCAGTTTCCCCAGGAAGAGGGAAGCCCGGGGGGAACAGGAGAGGGGCTTCCCGGCTTCAAGGGTGGTCCCGGCCCGGGCCGCGGGGGCGTGGCGTCCGCTCCGGCCGGCGCCGCGGGGCAGGCGCCCGGGAGTGGAAGAGGAAGAGCTGACGGCCCGCCGCGCAGAGCCCCAACGGGCAACGGCGGGGGAGGGGGGCGCCGGCCGGGGTACTCACGTCGATGTTCCTCAGGATGACGCACTTTCCATTGGTGTAGAGAAAATTGTTGCCCTTGGGGTCGCCGCCGATGATTTTGGAGACGCCCCTCTCCACCTGGGGGAGGCTGGCGAACACCTTCTCTGCGGGGACAAACGCAGGGGGCGGCTG